CCACTGACATACGTGAAACAATTAACAAAGTCAATCTTTGTTTTTTAACTCGCGAGTAGTCTTATTTTTTTTTACATTAACAATCACCTAAGGTATTTTTATACCCTAATCAAAAATCACTATCATTAACGATATATTGTACATTATTGATTGTTTTCCAGTTTATTAGTATTTGAGAACATTACGAATATGGATTTACTCAGAATTTTCTGAAAAAAGTAAGTAGAAACCAAACAGATATTATAAACAAATTTAGCGCATTAAACAGTTTATTATAACAATATTTCTAAAAAATACAGATATTAATTAATAATACTTTTTTGTTGCGAGTTTTTGAGATTTTATATTTTAAATTTTATATTTAAACATTTGCAAAGAAAAATTATTAGAAAAATAAAAAGTTATTTAAAAAGAAAGAAAATATGTTGAACAATTCATTTTATAATAATTCACATATTTTCGCCATTGGGATGGGATATAAAAACATCCCAGATGATTATTTCCAGATTTCTATTCAGACCGCGTATATCGATCATCGATAATACACGTTCAGTTTGGATTATCTATGGCACATTTATTATATATATATACTAAAAATGATATTTATAATATTTTATAATATATTTAAAATATTTAATACATTTTATATTAGGTTCAAAATTATTGCGCTTTATATCACCGACATTCCACGTTGTAATTATTCTGCACGTGTTAATTACGTATTGATCAATGATATTATAAAATAATTTGTGGTGATGTATCTGTTTATATTTAAAATATCAAACGGCTCAAATGGAAAATTCATTTTATAATAAAACAAAATATTCTTAGAATTATTATATTTATTTTGTATTACATGAATATTAAAAATGGCAAATAATATTCATATAATATTCTAGGAATATTGTGTGCTTATAAGGCAGAATGGTACACGCGGCACGAAACGTATTGACGACGTACTTGCCGTTGCCATTCGTTCCTGGTTTCGGCGATCTTCTGGTAAGTGTTGCCCATCATAGCGATCAACATGTTAACGAGCAAGATTGCCACGATCGCCATGTACAATACAAACAGCAGCTGCAATTAATAGCGATTATCGTTGTAACGTTATTCGACCGATTGCATTTGACGCTCTTTTGCATGGCGCGAGTGAGTCATTCGTTACGTGAAAAATTTGTGCGACTTATCTAATTGTCGTTAAAACATATCATGTGAATGTTAATTAGAAGATATGAAAGATGGTATTGTTTACTTTTATCTGTGAATACCGAGCACATGGCAAGTAAAGTACCTTGGCCTCGAATTCATGCTCGGTTCTGTCGAATGCACCATAGTAATCACCGAAATTTGTCATGCTCATCAGGAACATCGCCATAACACTTTCCATCGGCGATGGCATCGGATTCGTGATAGAGTCGTCGATGCCCTCTGGAGTGTTCGGATTGTCGAATGACAGGAATATGATGTAATATGCTGTGAAGAAAGATAAACTAGGTATTTATAATTGTAACAGCGTATTGTTTACATCGCGTGTGATATTTGTCCAAGATAAACCGTCGCGGAAATATTTAACTCTTCGAAGCTGACGTCAAAATCAAATGTAACACAGATATGGATGCTGTGTCTGTGAGATCATTTAATTTACGTTAAGAGGCACTAATTTCAAGGAATCAGAATGATATAACTCATATGAAAGAGAATGAAAGAGGCACTAAATTTATTTTAATGATTCTTTATACGATTATAATGAATATTTTTTTTAAACTATTTTTAACTATTTTTAAAAATTCACTTATTATTTATAGTAGTCATTATAATTATGATATTGTATTTGTTGAATAGAAATATTTATTTCATTTATCATTTATATCTTGATATTTTATATTAATATTTGAAATATACTATATTAATATTTGAAATTATTATAATTTATAGTACAATTTTTTCATATTTACGAGAAAACTATCATATATGGTTATTATTACTAACATTACAGCAGTAATAACCATAAAAATGGAGCTCCTAACCATAATTATTTTACCTCGCAATTATAGTCACAAATACCAAACACTTTTCTCTCAGTGTCCAATAAACCCACTATCAGTTCCGGAGGATTAAGATAACGTTTTTCGGAATTGATCGATCGCCATGGATCATATCAATCTACAAGATTTCTTATTGAGAAAGTCTTAAGGAAATGTTTAAAAAATCGTATCTCCCTCTTCGCGAACGAACAGACGGTCCATTCAAGCAGCGACGGCGCTATGTCGTTTGTTTGCGAAAAGTAAGACAATGGCACATAGCATTGCGGTCACGCTGCTGATTGCATAACGGCGTGCGTCGCATCATTTAACGTATCTCGAGACCTTCTCGGTGTAGCGCCTCCTTCTGCGGTTTCTTCCCTGCCGTTTGTTAGTACGAGAGACCTTCAACGGGTCGGGTGATGTGTGTCAATGTCGCTTTACAGCGTCCAGTAAAATTGTCGATTAGATCACACAACATTACGCGTGTCCGATGCTGATGCTGTTATACCAGCGGCTAATTAACAATTGTTGGGAATTAATAGAATAAGGCACCGGCCGATTGTCGTCAGTGTGTCACCGGTGGAATTGATGATGTTTCTCGTTACACGTGCCATTATGTCTCTTACAGTTTCGATTATCAATTGCGATAATCGGCAACAAGGTTATTCGTTTATTGTGTTCGGGACAGGCCTCATTCAGAAAGATAAATGGAACAGCAGTTACGTGAAATTAAAAGAGAGAATATGAGGACTCTCTTTTTTTTCGCAACGCCACGCGTTACCTTGAGAGAATCCCATGACGAAGACGAGGTAGATGGAGACGAATCTGATGAGGTCGCCCATGATCATCCTGTAAATCATCACGACGAATGGTCCAACCGTCTTGAAACCTCGGCAGAAGAATAGAAAGTACGGTGCCGTCGTCAGCATCACCACGACCGCTAGCATATCCTCGACCTCGTCGGAGCAGGTAAATCGCAGAACCGGGAACCACATTAGGATGCAGCACGAGATCAGGAACATCACGCGTGACGGTACTGTCATCTAAAAATCGCGCTCGCGTTAACACGAGTGGCGTTTTTGTAATTATTTTGTAATTAATCGTGGTAACATAAATCAGCTCATTCATAGTAGACAGAGAAAAATGTCTGATTGGATTAGTTAGAATTCTAGTTGAAAATGGATGAATCAAAAAATTTTCTGGTTAAATCTACTAGAATTCTAATTGTGATAACCGGAATTCTGATTGATATAATCAGAACTTTTTGGTTCGTCCATTTTTTACCAGACATTTTTCTCAATGTACTCAGTGGGTACTTTTTTATATCGATTTGGTGACACAAATCGATATAAGTGTTATTCTTTGTTATTCACTACCGAGAAAGGTATAACGATGTTTTTGTCGATTTGTATCACTAAATGGAAAACGTTCAATACTGATTTGTAACGATAGAGTTATAGTTGATTTGAAAATTCGGGAATTATTGAGACAAGTCTCGTTACTTTGTATATATTAAAGATAACGTCTTGAATGACTCTTACGAGATTTTCGATGAACATATGAAGACCTAAGAATCTCGCCTCCCGCAACGCAGCCAAGATGTAGAGCACCGCTGCGATGAACATAAAAATTTCCGCAGTTAGACGAATCTTTGCACTCATTTCTGATAGCTGCATCAATCTGCACTCCTCCGAGAAATCACCCCACCTATGAAATAAGTATTTATTTCATACCAACTAGGAAAGAACATGGGCAATAAGAGTCAAACGCAGAAGACGTTGCGCAAATAATACACCCATATATATATATATATATAAAGCGTAAAACTTCTTTATTTTACTAAACGCGCTTAAATTAGCGCATTTAGTAAAATAAAAATGTTTTATGCTTTATGGGTGTATTATTTGCGCAATGTCTTCTACGCTTGATTCCTATTGTCCATGTTTTTTCCTAGTTCTTTTGATTTATAAGGAGTCTTTGTTAGTGTTTGATTTATTATACGTATTTATTTCATGATGTTAATATGAAAAATATGCAATAGTATACACACAGATAGCTCAGTCTGCTTGACAGATTTTGTAAAACGTCTACAGACAAATTTTACAGAAAATTACTTTCTAAAATATTTTACATCTTATAATAGAATATTTTGGAAATATTTCTTATGCTGTACAGGCATGTAATCAATTTCTCTATTAATCAATAGCTTTTTGTAATATTTCTCGCAATGTAAATTTCATTATAATATTATATTTGAATGTACCAATAGTCGCGATTAAATTTTGGTCGCGCGACGCCGTCGATGATCGCCTTGACAGTTGAATTCACGTCGGTTTTGTTGTAAGTATCCATGAAATAGTCCGACGCGTTTGGAGGGCTATCGGTATACCACAGCGTATGAATGGCGGCCTCGTCAGGAGGACTCAGAATGCCCTCGTTTGCGTTCAGCGTCAAGAGCAAAATGCTCTTCAGGGCTGACGTGATGTTTGACGTTACTTGCAGCTGGATCTTCTCCAGCGATTCCTGCGTCATATTTAAGGATGATTTTAAATTCGAGGTAAAAGCCGCCACGAGGCTATTCGTAACCAATTCTGATAGATCCGAGCTTTGGAGAGTCTTGAGAATTATAGGCTCCGTTATATTGGAGGAATTCGTCCTCGTCGACGTATCGTTTGCATTTTCGTCTGTTTCTATGGTCGATGGGCCAGGTCGAAGGGTTAAGCTAATTAGCGACAATACGAAGTAGAAACAGAAGAGAAAGAATTGATTGTAGAATCTAAAAATTAAAAATCTCATAATGAGTATGTAAGTTATTTTTATAGTTATTTTTTATATTTAATCAAGAAATGTTTTTAACGTAAAATTTTATTTTTAATTCAATTTAATTTTTTATAAAAGTGAAATAGAAGATTATCTTTTCTTTTATTATACGTACCGGGATTTGACGAAGGTGTTCCACTTGGCGTTTAAAAGATCGACTAGCACACCGTCCATTAACTCTAAATGTTCATCTTTATCCTACAATCATCGTGAAAACATTCTGTCTGTGCGTTTTAAAGATAAAACATAAATAGCATAATTTATTGGCTTACACCAAAAACAACTAGATTCAAGGCAGAATTATTGTTGATTGTCCCCGTATTAACGTCGATCGTATCTATTTGCGATAAAGGGTAGGCTGCGCAAGTTATGCTGCCGATTTGCCAGTATATCTCTCTTTCGATGTTCATGATGTGAAAGAACATCTCAATCCTGGCCAACTTTGCAGCCAAAGTCAACGGAGTCAGATGTTGAACGTTTCTTATGCCAAGAGAAGCCCCTACTTCATAAGCCATGTCGAACGTGGCCTAAAATTAAATTGAAGATTAACAAAATAACAAATGCCACGAAATTATTTGTAACAATTTTTTGTACTTTTTAAATAAACGATAGTCTGTCTTGATATTTTTTACTGACGGGTATTGTTAAGCGAATTACTATTAAATCAATTATTCAGATAATATTTTTTAGGAATGAACAAAAGTATCAAAGATAATAACACTCGCCAATTTCTCGTATATCACCAGCATATGCATAACGGTATTGCCATTCGTATCCTGCTTATCAGGATCCGCACCTCTGGCTAATATAAGCCTGTAGCACTCTTCCTGACCGAGACAAGCGGCGAAGCTTAGCGGATATTCTCCCCAGTACACATAACTATGGACATAATAATAAGGTAGATCGTCTTACTTTAATGAATAGACATGTAACATTACATTCTCGACATGGCGCTCGACAAGATACGTTAAAATCTCGGATGAACGAGTCCGTTTATGTAGAGTTGAATCGCGATATTTAGGTCACATTTAGGACTCGAAACAAATGTTCAAAGTTAGTAATTTCATTAAAAAATCATAATGAAATTTTTTTTGTTTCGTCATTCACGAGAAGTAACAACAATCTAATGTCGTTTTTAAGAAAAATAATACAGCATACCCGTTATAATTGGTTTCTGGTGAGACACACACCCATTCGTGGTCCATATTGTCAAACCTCGACGTCTTCTGATCTTCTGGGCTCATGAAGTTGCCGAAGCACCTTTCGTGGATAATACGCGGATCGTCTGCTCCACTATCGAGAAGGAACTTAACCATCGATGGATCCTCGTTTACGATAGCGATGTGCAAGACATTCTCTCCTAAATTCAGAATAAATCGGTATATAAAATTATAAAGTCGAAGAGATGCAAATCTTTTTTCAACTAGATTACATTTTTATGAATTAAAATGTCACATATCGTCTACAAGGAGAATCATAGGTATATTTTAAAATTTCGTGAACGTGTTCCTTGATAAAAAAAAAAGAATAAACGTTTCTATGAACATTATATCGCAAATACTTCGTTATCGAAATAATGAAATCTTGTACATTTGCAATAATATTTTTGCAATAATACGTTTTGTTGATAGATTTACGTGATCTGAATTCAAAAGAATTTCTTGATTAGAAAATCATAAAAGCCGCGGGAGCCCCCTTGGGAATAAATGATTTACTTTGGAAATGCTAATCATCCATGGCATTATGCAAGCGATATTCTATGAATAAATAATTTAACTAGAATGCTTATCGGAGAATTTATCGGTAACGGACATTCTACATATAATCTGTAGACTGCTTTATGAAGAAAATTCAATAACAGCTTTAATTTATAGCGTTTTAATCCATTCCATAATCAATGATCGTCACGTGTTTCATAACGTGTTTCATAACAATCGCAGGAAGACTCAAACTTACCATAGTACTCGTCGCTTAGATAAATATCGTTTATAAGCTTCGGATAGAAACGTAACAATCGTTTTGCCAAATCAGCATGAATGGCGGTCGCGTGCAACATGCATAAATGCAAAATGGTTTCGCCGACAGCACCTCTGTCGCTTAAATTCCAACATACCAATCTATATTTGCTTTTATCTACCAAGAATATTTATTAGTCAGATAAATTCTTGTACAACTTGCACTTTGCAGGTAATTTAAACTGTAGAAATATGCTTGCGTAGTTTGACGATGATTTATATCGCAAACAGCAAACATCAACTAACAATAATATAACTGTTAGTTATTATAATTTTTCACTTAACAATACAACTGTAATATAATATATGATAATTATATGTATAACATGTAATTGTTATATCGATAAATTCTTGACTAACAATTATATTACTATTATAGTTGGTGTTTGTTGGTAAAGAAATTAAACTTCGTTGTGTTATTACCTATCTTAGCTTCGTCAACTTCCTCGTCGCCCATGTCTTTATCGATATCGTAATCAGCTGGATTTTCCATAGCTTTTAAAGGCGGCAGCTGCACAGTGTGAGAGAAAAATTATTTGAAGCACCGACATCGCAATCGATAGTATAGTAGCGAAATTGATCGCGTACCATTTTATGCCGCGGACGATCTTTATTTCGTAGAAGAACCAATTTGTCCACTGGTATCCATTTACCTTTTCCCTTGTTGTACAGAAACGGCTCTACTTTCGTTCTCATCGCGTGATCCAACTCCGCAAACTGCTTGGTCTGCGTGGCTCTTTTCATCATATCCACCAACAATCCGCCACCTGCAAATCTTGCTAGATAGCTAAATATTGGACTTGCGAAACAGCCGTAACAAAAACAAAGGAGTATATATAATAAAAGTCGCCAATTTTCGCCGCACGGCAAGCGTTGCCGCGTTCTGTATCTGTCTAAAGATTTGTCGCGTCGCAAGCTCCAACATGCTCCAACATGCTCCTACCATAGCTCTTACTCACTTCAACTTTGATAGAGTGAGTAAGGCCGGAATCAGACTACACATTGAAGATTGAGATTGAAGATTGAAAAATTCAAATTTGACCGAAATGATTCAATCGAAACGAAAGGAGCTAAAATTTCTTTGTCCTTATTGGTCAAATTTCAATCTTCAATCTTCAACCTCAATCTTCAATGCATAGTCTGATTCCGGCCTAAGAACTATGGTAGCACATTGGAACATGTTGGAGCATGCGACGCGAACAAACCTTAGATATACCAAAGTAGCGCAATCCTTTTATCTGAGCCGAAATGCCGACAACTTTCCTATTGGCTATTTCGACCTAATTGTCTGTAATCCAATAAGCGCTTAGTATTATTGGTATAATTAGTAAGTCGAAAATGGAGGACCTTTGCGCTACTTTGGTAAATTCATTCCAAAACGTTCTCTCCGAGGAAAATTTTACTCGAAGTATATATACAGTCCCTGGCCACATTATTATGACCATCTTATCTTTTTGTACTCTTTTATTTGGTTAAATTTTAAATATATATTATGATGAATTTATTGAACAATTTTATGTCTAATCAATTAATTACAACTTGGCAATATTAAATCAATTATATTTTATTATAAAATACAGCAAACAAAACATGCAAAATAAATATAAATTGTTGTTAGACATGTTAATAAAGCATAAATAAATAAGTTAAATATAAGTTATTATTTAACTTGTGTTTAACTTATTTATTTATGCTTTATTAACATGTCTAACGACAATTTATATTACTTACTGTTATATTTTATTAATATTAACGATTTACGTCACGAGACAAAGTGTTCTAAATAGAAGTTATATGTAACTTCAGCGTGGTTAAACAGTTGACACAAAATGGCGATATATTATCTATAGAGTTGCATGCACAGTAATTTAAAAAACAGTATTGCCACCTGAAATACAAATCTTTCTATCACTTTTTATAAAAATTTGCCAACTTATCATAAAAATATCGTAAAATTCAACAGTAGTCATAATAATGTGGCCAGGGACTGTAATACATGTAACATACTATAGCGTATACAACAAAATCTTCCTCGGAAAGGACGTTTTGGAAAGTAGCCCTAGAGCTTTAGTTCTGTGTGTAGGAGTCATTATAGCGAACGCGGGAGATCCCCGTCGAAAATCGGCGCGAATTTCGGAAGCCGTGGCGGCAACTTTAGAAGGTCCGCGACAATTCACGGTCGCGCGACCGCGACAGAATTAATTCGGCGGACGGCACGTGGACGCGCGTTGCGTCACGAGTGCAGGTATTTGGATCGTGTCGAGTGTCCGAGAGCTATTATATCGGACACACACGCATTAGGACTCCATCCATCAGCGTCGGAATCGGCGCGGTGACTCACGGATGATAAATACGGGAGAGGCGGAAGAGAGCAAAGAGTGGAGAGAGCTCGGCAACCCTCGAGCCGTCTCAATTGGCGTCAATTCCGCGCGGCGCATCGCTAGGAACGCATTGGCATTCCTATTTTCGCGGTCGAAGAGCCCTCGGCGTTTTCCGGCACTGTTAAAAACAACACGTGCAATTACGTTGCGCGTGGTAAATCAATATAAATGCTACCTGTCAGCTGGTGATGTCAGAACAGTCAAACCCAAGGAACGCATCAAGTCAAGAGAAAGTCAAAATGTTTTTATGACGTCCTAAAAGATAAAATGATGATTTTTGCACTGAAAAAAAGATTGGCTGCTGCAGCAAATTAGATGGTAAAATATAGCATAGCATTTTTAATTGGCTGCAGCAGCCAATTTTTG